CGCCAAGCTCCACTCCAGTGATTGAGACGACAGACCTTTTAATTCTGCTTGGACATCCTTCAGGGGACATTTAATACTCTATAGGGAAACTGAGACACACAACACTTTCCTCTTTAATGGAAGTGAAATGACCGGGCTGCATGTCAAAGCTGTGAATTTTGCCTACTGGTTTTCAATATTTCACTTTATCTACTCAATATCTAGTGTAATCTAGTAATCTATATTACCACTACCCGTGTTGGTCATGGTACAAGAGCTGATAACACATTTTGCAGCTGGAATTCAAAGCTCTGTTTTTCATATCAGGCTCTAATTTGATCACTGTGTGAATACTGGAGTGATACTCGGAGGATTTAGCACTTGCAGATGTTACGGACACCCACGCGTCTTTCCTTTTTTTTATTTGTCTGAATCAGAGGACAAATCAGAGACTTTGTTTTAATTGTTGCAATTATGAATTAGTATGAAATGGAAACAAGGGTTGGAGACGGGGACTTGGGAAACACATGGGTAGTCCGTTGGTTGTCAGATTTACAGCTCCTCTGGATTTATTGATGTAATAGTATTTCCAAATACAGATTTATTGACATTTTACACCACTTTTGGGGAACTTGTCACACTAGTATAATAGACAGAGGGGAACACCCAACCATAAATATTAGCCTCGGACACTCAACAATATTAAGAGCGAGCTGGGAGCGCCGTGCAATTATGTATTCTGAAAGCATCAGCCTTGTAGTGGATTATTTATGTGTGGGACCCACGAAGCCAAAAGCAAGGTGTGTCCATGAGGTCTTGTTATTACGTTCAAGGCAATAAAAATCTAACGTTTTAAATTCAGTCATTCATTTCTAATGTGCTGCATCGTAAAACCTAAGCATCTTACTTGAGAGATTTGTGTTGCAGGCGAAGGGAAAAAAAAACATTGGAAAGTAGTTTTTCCGTGTCTCCCTTGTTTTCGCCTTTTGATATTAAATAACCCGTGGTGGAATCAAGCCTCAGCCAGTGCGTGTCTCATGTGTGGAGTTTTTCATTAGTGAAGACAGCGGATGAATAGGGGTCTATGTAGCTTGGCCTTACCTCTCTGTAAACGCTCGACGTGACAGTCCCGTGTGTAAATCTCAGCCCCCAGTGCTGCTACACCCTCTCGGCTACCTCATTTGACAAACAGCCCTCATTCCTTAGTGGAGACAAGTTTACACCAGTGTTGTTTTGGATTTCTGCAAACCCCTCTTTTATGTTAACGTTGGATGTGCGCTGAGCTCATTAGCTCATTTTCAGAGCCCCTGTCAAATAATTCATATAAAGTGAATAATTGATGAGCACAATGACCACAAACCCTCAAACCCACTCCAGTCAAAGCCTAAATCTTGAGGCCCTTTATTTCAGTGCTGCATGTGCCCTGGAGGTAAGGTTATTTTGGTGTTGCCCAAGGATCCCTGAGCCATCAAAGGACACACAGAGACACCAGTCTGTCCTTTTGAAGTCCTGTCTCCTGTTAACCTGGCCAGAAATGTACAAGGTCTTACAGCATTTTCCAGTTGTCATATTGTAAAACAAATAGGTGGGATTAGGTAGAACTCACAAACACTTCAGCAATGTAAACTGAGATCCATTTAATCCAAAGGAGAGAGAGAGACACCCAGGAAGCGAAAGATTTCCATTTACAAAAGGTGGAACTCTATCCTCACAGATAAAAGGGGTTTTGTCCATGTTCTCCTCAGTTGTCTAGACAATACAACACGCCCCTGGCCACCTGTTCCGACTTTTCAGCTGACAACAACCGAAATGTACCTCCTGTGATAAATCTCCTGTTTACACGACTCCACCGGTGTCACTAACAAAGCAGCGGGTCGGCCGCGCATTCATTCGCAGAGACCACTGTCTGAGGCCTCCCCTCCTCGACCCCAGCCACACAGGAGGATATCTGGAAAGCATTCACTCACCGGAGTCCTTGACAGTCCTCAGCACTGCATAATGTTCAGACTGCAGAGGAATGTCATGGTGAGTCAGAGGGATGAAGTCCTGACCTATAATTATTCCCCCGTTGGTCCCTGACATGGTGGGGTCAGGCTTGGACAGCTGGGGCAACATCCTGCTGAGCTTCTCTGCTACATGGATGCTGTCACACAGCAAAATTAGCCCCTCTGTGGATCGGGCCCTGTCGCCGCTGATGGATGGGCGAAGAGAGGTGTCAAAAACCGGATTGATGATTTAGGACATGGTCTTGAGTTGTGGCAATCTGTGTAAATTATCCCAAGGTATTGACTGCAGGTGCAGATGTCAAGCTTTTATTTATGGGGTGTCACAAACAGGGTTTTTTCGCTTGGTTGTATTGATCATTTATCATAAGTTACTGAACTCTACAAGGATTTTAATCATGTGATACAGCACGGAATGATGTACTAGTGAGTAATAATTCATATTTTAATCAGTGTGCATGCAGCCAAAGAGAGGGAAGGTGTTGTATTTCACACCAAAAGGACAGAAAAACCTGCTGATGCACACACAACTCCACAGGAAAGTTGCTTCTCAGTTCCACTTCATTTGTTCATAAAATGAAACAACTATTTCTAGTCTCCATAGCAACTTGTATATTTTCATCCTTATCTGCAGTTTTTTAGCAAAAGGGATTCTCTGAAGACATGACCATACAATCACGGATTGCTTTGAAGCCATTTGACCATTATCCTTGACACTAAAAGCACAGCACTTACTGGTACTGGATGTCAAATTAAACCCTTTAATGATAAGTTCTCTCCTAAGGTCTCATGGGAAATTTCTTCTGGATTACATTGTGGGAAAAAGGCTTTGAACTTGACATTGAACTTAAACAGACTTTTATTTTTTTGCCTGCAGACCCCAAAAGTTTGGCCGTATCCTACAGCTTCACAGCTTTCATATAGAAGCACTGAAAATATCCAAAATAGTGAAACTCAGATCTAAGCCACCGACTGGAATGGATTCCTTTAATGTCGCTCTAACTTCAAGAGCCTCTGCTGAGAATATTTGCATTTGTTGTCACAGTTGTCAGCTGTGGTGGTAAACCCACCCGACCAGTTGCCCTCCACTGTACCCAACGTTTTCACTTCTTTTGGCTCATTGTTTTGGTTTTACAACACTCAGTCATATTGTTTTGGTTCCCTTCCACTGCTGTCATGCATAAAGTGGTTAAAACCCAGACTCCAAACGAATGCTAATGTAGCTCTGCACGTCTTCAGGGTGTGTCAGTACGTGTGATCCTACAGCTGTTTCAGACGTGAACTCTAGAAAATGTACGCAAAATGTTCATTTACATATCAAGAAGAGATTGTCTGGGTCAGATTAATTTATAATAAGAAAATTTCAGAATATTCAAGCGAGGGATGAAAGGTGCCTGGGTAGAGTACGCAGAAGGAGGACATGACATATAAATTCCGATCAAGTCTCTTTATAAGTTTATATTTTTGTCACTGTCTTCTGCAATATGATACCTCTTTTTCATCCTCAGATATTTTTTTTCTTCCATTTATGCATCTGCCGCTTGTTAGAAACGCCATCAACACGTCCACTCACTCACTGAGAATTTTCCGGACATTTTCCAGCTGTATTCTCACATGGGCCCACACAGACATCTTTACAAGAGGACTGGCAGGAAAAGTTCCCAAAAATGTCTGGAGCAACTGACTCAGAGGCTTGTGTTCTCCCCCCCAGAGAATGTCCCCATCTTCAATACACATCTGAAAGCAGCTTATATCCTGCAAGTGGCCAAAAAATTGTTAATATTGTACGTTTCAAACCTTGACCTAACTGCCCCCATTTTCTGATATGCAGCACATTTAAACATTCTGCCTCCTTCATGTCGATAAGCTGCTCATTCACTCTGCGGTACTTGCCATCCAATTTGTTTGCAGAGAGTGACAACATAATGATGACAATAATTCTTCGCCCTGATGGATTTCAGGAAATGCCCACTTGCAACGAGCCATTTACTGGTCCTTCGCTGGACCATTCCATATTTACACATAGACGACTTTTAAAAACACGGTGTTATTAGGGCCAAATGTGTGCCTCTTTGGAGTGACGAAGGTGGCACTTCCATGGCAATTAGAGGAAATTGGTGGTATCTGTGGTCTACACAGGAGTGCTGACATCAGTTCCCACCTTTAATGACCTCAGGGATGTCTGTTGAGAGATCAAACAGGTCCTCAGAAAAGCAGAGGTCACCACGCTCTGCTGAAACTGACCAGAGGTTTGCCCCAGCCCCGGTGCTGCTGACCCCACTTTCCTGCTTAGGTTACATGCACTCAGCAAGTTAAGCTGACTCTGAGGTCCGTCTTTGAAATTTGTCTCCTGTTAGCATTATTGTTAATCAAAAAGGCAGTGACTTTAGGAAAGTATTGAGATGGGAGGGGAGGAGGTGAAAGCTACATGTTCGTGTGATGAATTGCAAACGTATTTTTCAACAATATCTCTGATGATTGATTGTATTTCTTTTTCTTTTCTCCTACAGAATAATGGATCCTTGGTGTGGTGCCAGAATCACAAGCAGTGCTCCAAGGTAGTGTGGTTTCACTTCTTTCATGAATGAGACTCATGCCACATACGTGCCTCATTATTACAGGATAATACAACATAAAGAGTATGAGTCACGACAGGACTAGTTTTGTCATGCCTGCAGGAATCACTTTGAGAGCAGTATTGACATAGACTACACTGAGAAAAACTCTTTTCTCCTCAGTTCAGTCCTAACTTAGTTTCTATTCTGGTTCTTAATCATTTTCTCCTGTTAATGCTTATAATTAAACACAGTCAAGAAGATCTAAGGAGGACATGTGCCTGTGAATTTATGAAAGCGCAGCATGACTGTTTGTCATAGACTTGTCATTTTGAATTTTAGCTGGATGCGTTGTGGAACGCCTCCCGCTGCGCTTGTTTGTGATTCGTGCTCTGTCCCATAGAAGGGCGATACAGAGCTGGTGTTGACAGCCCTTCTGAAAAGACGGTGCTGACATGTTCCGTCAGACTCTCCTGGAGCTGTTGACAAGGCCCTCGGAGATGTTCAGTATGGACTGTAGACAGAGAACGCTATGGAGCTGAAATAAGAGGGGTGATAGGCCAGTAGAGCCCGGTCCCAGTAGCCATGTGAACAATGCTCTCCTTAGCTGTCAGAGGCTCTCAACCCCTCACTAACACACTGTGGAACCAGGATTCAATGTTGTTAGCCAGTGAGGACTTATAATAGGACATATACAACTAATATCCACATGGCGACAGGTCAGTGTCTTGTTGTTTTTTGTCTTTATGCCATCAACATCTGCTAAAATAAAATACAGGAAGTAATAATAATAATGTTCTAGGGGTGTGCACAAAAAGTACAGTTCTGTTTTGAGCTCATGGTTGGTTGTGTTTCCAGCATAGTGAATCTAACAAATACAAAACACTTAATCACTACTTGCACTTAAAGTATGTTATACTATATATACTATACTGGCTGCAATCTACTAAAAAAGTAGATTTTAAAAAAGTAAATAAAAAAATGAATTCAATTCATTCAAGGCTCAGTTACTTTCATCTTAGTAAAAGATCCATTTGTTTTTAGGGTGTGGATACACAACCTGTGGCTGGGTTCATAGAAAACCTTTTTCTTTCAGGTTTGGTCATGTGGGCTCGGCTTTCTACTGGATTTTTTGAACACTGTTCAGGGGACAACTGGATTCTAGTCGGGTTTGGACAAAAATACAGAATGCCTGTTGGGTTCAGGCCGGGCTTTGTTAGTTGTCTCTTGGGCTTGGTCGGGTTTCGGACAGAGAATTGTGGCCTGAGCCGCACTCTATTTGTCATTGCTTTGTCCTGGTCTAAATTGTTAGAAGATGCTGCCTAAATACCATCCAGGAGCTGGGTTTTCACTGCATTGAGTTTCGAATTGAGATTTGCACACACAAAGTTCCGTACATGCATTCACACGCTGAACCGAAAGTCCCATACAGAAAATATATGGTACAAATACATGTAACTTTACACCCCCTATAGTAAACTTTATTTATAAAGCACTGTTCTCAACAAAGTGCTATACATGGAAGAAATTATAAAATGAGGACTAAACAATGGAACATCAGCAGGGAAAAAGTCAGTTATCGCACAGGTGATGATGAATTAGATGTAATCCCTTCTTATATTTATTGACTTTTCTCAAAAGTCCACAGATGGTGTAATTACTGGGGAATGCACGCTGAGAATTTGGGCAAATCACACTATTGTAGTGATGGTGATTAATTTGAAATTCAGGAAAATGCATAGTGGTTGCATTTTTTAAAAAAATGCACTGCTTACTTAACATGGCCTCACAATAGGTGTACTTATTAATCACAATCAGTGTCCAGTATCAACTGCCTTGCAAAGTAACTCTTTCTTTTTTCGAATTTCAAATCGTTTCCTTGGCTATTTGCATTTGCCCTAGATACAACAGAGCTATTGTACTTTGTGCTTGCATGTGCAAATGCACAATCAATGAATGAGAGCTAAACTCTTAAAGTTGTGCACCATGAAGTTGAAGGCAAGCTCAAGATTGTCTGAGTGTCTCTCAAACAAAATATGAGCTATAAAAACATCTTTCCCAACATTTTCTATGAATCTGTATCTGTCAATGTTAGTGTAAAGACTCTCAGGAAGGCAAACCTCCTTTGTTTTCACCATGATGCTGTGAAACCTCCTTTCCACTGTGATGGCCAACATCGACTCTTGGCTCTACTCGCCCCCCCCTGTCATTCGGCAGAGTTTTATGTTTGAATAAGGCTTTCGCTGGCTGTGAGTCTGAGCACAGCATACTGTTTTCATAATCAACCAGCTAACGTTGCTGAAATTCAAATGTCCAAAAACCTCTTTAATGGGCTTCTTGTTCTCTCTGCTATAACAAGCATGTCACTGCGCACTTCTTTATCCGACTTGCAGCCTGTAAATAAATGAGGCTGGATTTGATGTCAGGAATAATGACATGCCTGTGCTGCTGCTTCGCTCTTGCTATTCTGCCATTACAAATGTAGTTTCAAGGGCTCTCTGAATTTAATGAATTTGATTGTGTCCCAGGTTTTGGTTCAGCCACTCAGGATGCAGAGCAGCGCACCATGTCGAGGCTTAATTTGAAGCCAGAAGTCAATATTTTGGTAGCAAACATCACCACACTTCACATTCACATCAGTTGCTCGAGTGCAAACTTAGGGCCTGTGTGTAGTTTGTCAAAACACAGCGCTATTGTGCTCTGCTCGGACAATTGTACCAAATGGGCCCATGGTGTACAGTGGTTCCCTGTGAATAGTCTCCACAGCCACTGATTAGCCTCTTCACTTCATGAACAGCACACAGTCAAACAGAGAGACAAAGGCAGCGGCTCCCGGGGAGTGCATTAGGGCAGAAGGGCCTGTCCACCCAATGCTCCATTTAAGGGCCACTGAGAGCTGGAGAGAATGTGTGGTGGGGGGCTGCCTAATAATTTAGACAAAGATGCTGTGACCCCGTCCATCTGTCCTGCGTTTTTAGGAAATCAAAGCCCCCTGTTTTCATTTGTGATGAGAAAGTCACGCTGGTCATTTCGTATGCGGTGTCCAGAGTCGGCCCCACTCTCTGTGTCCCCTATTGTCATGGTAATTAACCTGCCTGCCCTCGTTCCAGCACAGAGCAGAGCGAGGTGGCATTTTGAGAGCCAGGGAGTCATTATCATCCCATAACACTGGACCTGCAGACTAACTCCATTCAGCAGGGAGACGCCGGGAGACCAGACAGCACTCATTTCTATGAACTATTGTCATTTTGTCTCCCATACTGTTAGGTGCTCCCCTCTCGAGAAGCTTGGACGTGTTCCATGAAAGTTTTTAATAAAACTCCAGGGTGTTCTCTCTTTTTTTCTGCCGGTGCAAAGAAAATAGATTTGGTGCATATATGCATGGTGGAGCTTGCAGAAGCAGCCAAAGGTCTTTCCACATTCAGAGCAGGGCTGATATTTAGCAGGGTTCACTTTCCCCAGGGGTGTGATCCAAGCTCCAAATCAAATGCTGGGCTTGACTAGAGGCAGCGAAATGCCAGCCTGCAACAAAGCGGTGCAGTTCATTACTCTAAACTTCTCTCGGGGAAGGAAAAGAAGGACATGTACATAGTGCCTGAGTAGTTGGGCCTGTGGTGAGTCACTGGAAGGTGCCCATCACTTATAATTTCCGAGGAAGAATGTGTAATATTTTTCTTGTAAACACAGCGAATTCCCTGGACCTTTCTCAAAAATCAGTGCACTTTTTCCTCCACTGAGACGGATCTCTATGAATCTGACGATCTCACTGTGAAAAGGTGACTTTACTTAGCAGCACAAGTTTGAAATGGAACATCTTTTGGAAACAAGATGTTGGTTTTATGTTTCGTCTGAACCTGCTGAGCAATTTATTTATCGAGAGTGTGTGCAGCTTCATTTCCTCTCTGTAAAGCAACATTGTCTGGATGTCTTTCATAGATCTCTCACATGTCCCAGGTGGCTCTTTTGAGTGCTGTCTCCTACCAATCACACCCCGAGCTGCACATACCAGCACAAGAATAAGAAGTGTTTGCTCTTTTTTTTGGATTCCATGTGCCTTCGTCTTCACATGTTGGAAGCTTTGGAGGGGTTTTTCTTTTTCTTTTTTTTTCCTGAATAACAATCGCAGGAATGCTACTATGTCTCATTCAAAGCCCACTGTCAACCTCCCCCCACATCACACCACACACCCACCAACCCCCACATTTTCACACAGCAAAATAAAATTTCCCCTCGTCACTTGTTCTTTTTTATTTCAGGGTAATCCGAACCTTCCAAAGTAGTGGCTCATTCTTCATTCCTAAATTAAAAACAATATTAAAAATAACACACATGCTTTCACATCACTTTCACCCAGAGCTTTTGAAAGTGTGTCTGTGCGGTTTTTACAAGGCTTTTGTGTGGTCATCTTATTCTTTGGCGGTAGGTGGTGTGTTTTTGAGGCTGTGAAAAAGTGGGTGCTGGTCGATAGTTTATGGTGGGGCACGGCCGGGGCTGTTAGCCGCTTCAGAGAGACATCAAAGAGGCACCTTTTGGTCACGTCGAGGCCAGACGTCCGTCTCACCTCCCCGTGTTAGCCACATTACCAGCACCAACACCTCAAAGCACCTTGGACTAGAAATCAATCTGTCAGGCGGGCGGTGTCTGGAGTGCCTGTCAGTCATAGCAGCTGAGCAGAGTGGAAAATTAGAGAAAACAGTCCGAGCCAGTTTGACAATTGATTTACTTTAAAGATGAGATACAGAAAAAGAATTCTGAGGCTGTGTAGATCACACCGAGACGTTGCTGGAGCCTTTTATTTTATCTTGTTGGAGGCAGTGTGAGTGTTTGTGTCTGTGTGGGTGTGTGGGTGGCGGAGGAGTGTGAGGCAGGGCTGGTCAGTCCCAGCAGGAAGGACCTGATCTGGACATGGTTGTTAAGTTTCATTGGCCAAAGGGGGGGTCGCTTCATTGGCTGCTATCTGTAGAGCTCATTATTCACATGGTGGGTGGCAGAGAATGAAAACCCCCACAGCAAAAAAAAAAAAGAAGATGTGGCCACAGGAGAGGAGGCGAAGAGGCAGTGGAGCAGCAGTGGAGACTTTTTCCACAGTGAAAGCTTCTCTCTGAAGTGATGTCGCGATGAAATCTACTCACTGCCAAACACCGACTTGTGTTTTTATGGATCACACAGAGCATAGGGGGCTTTTGAACAGTGGCCATTTTCATTTATTTATTTCATTTTCTCAGATAATCAACCTTTCGCAGATTTAAAATCTTCTCACTGTTGGAGGGGATTTAATTTTCTTGAAAGATTAACGTAATCAAAGCGGATGTGAAATCCTCTTTAAGCAATAAAGAGTGGTCACACTAAGACAATCTGCTGTCATCTGAGTGTTTATTCTCAATCTGAGCATGGATTGGCCGAGCGTCGTACACGTCGTCGTACACGTCGTCGTGCACGTTGTGTTGACTTTGCAACCTTTTCCTTCCCGAGCTCACGTATTGATGGGTGCAGAAACAAGAATTCATTCTGTAG